GGAGCAAAAGAGAGTGCAACAATTATAGGGGAATAAGTCTGTTGAGTATACCTGGTAAAGTGTATGGTAGAGTTATTATTGAAAGATTAAGAGTAAGACGGAGAATAGGATAGCAGATGAACAAGGAGCTTTAGGAAAGGTGGGGGGTGTGTGGACCAGGTGTTTACAGTGAAACATATAAGTGAACAGTATTTAGATAACGCTAAAGGGGTTTTTTTGTGGCATTTATGGATTTGGAAAAGGCGTATGACAGGGTGGATAGGGGAACAATGTGGCAGATGTTGCAGGTGTATGGTGTAGGAGGTAGGTTACTGAAAGCAGTGAAGAGTTTTTACGAGGATAGCGAGGCTCAAGTTAGAGTATGTAGGAAAGAGGGAGATTATTTCCCAGTAAAAGTAGGCTTAGACAAGGATGTGTGATGTCACCGTGGTTTTTTAATATATTTATAGATGGGGTTGTAAGAGAAGTAAATGTGAGAATCTTGGCAAGAGGCGTGGAGTTAAAAGATAAAGAATCACACATAAAGTGGGAGTTGTCACAGTTGCTCTTTGCTGATGACACTGTGCTCTTGAGATTCTGAAGAGAAGTTGCAAAGGTTGGTGGATGAATTTGGTAGGGTATGCAAAAGAAGAAAATTAAAAGTGAATACAGGAAAGAATAAGGTTATGAGGATAACAAAAAGATTAGGTGATGAAAGATTGGATATCAGATTGGAGGGAAAGAGTATGGAGGAGGTGAATGTATTCAGATATTTGGGAGTGGACGTGTCAGCGGATGGGTCTATGAAAGATGAAGTGAATCATAGAATTGATGAGGGGAAAAGGTGAGCAGTGCACTTAGGATCTGTGAGACAAAGAACTTTGTCCTTGGAGGCAAAGAGGGGAATGTATGAGAGTATAGTTTTACCAACGCTCTTATAGGGGTGTGAAGCATGGGTGATGAATGTTGCAGCAAGGAGAAGGCTGGAGGCAGTGGAGATGTCATGTCTGAGGGCAATGTGTGGTGTGAATATAATGCAGAGAATTCATAGTTTGGAAGTTAGGAGGAGGTGCGGGATTACCAAAACTGTTGTCCAGAGGGCTGAGGAAGGGTTGTTGAGGTGGTTCGGACATGTAGAGAGAATGGAGCGCATCAGAATGACTTCAAGAGTGTATCAGTCTGTAGTAAAAGGGAAAGGGCGGGGTAGGGGTCGGCCTGGGAAAGGTTGGAGGGAGGGGGTAAAGGAGGTTTTGTGTGCGAGGGGCTTGGACTTCCAGCGGGCATGCGTGAGCGTGTTTGATGGGAGTGAATGGAGACAAATGGTTTTTAATACCTGACGTGCTGTTGGAGTGTGAGCAAAGTAACATTTATGAAGGGATTCAGGGAAAAAGGCAGGCCGGACTTGAGTCCTGGAGATGGGAAGTACAGTGCCTGCACTCTGAAGGAGGGATGTTAATGTTGCAGTTTAAAAACTGTAGTGTAAAGCACCCTTCTGGCAAGACAGTGATGGAGTGAATGATGGTGAAAGTTTTTCTTTTTCGGGCCACCCTGCCTTGGTGGGAATCGGCCAGTGTGTTAATAAAAAAAAAAAATAATCACATGTATAATAATAATATGTATAATAATAATTGTGCATGAGCATGTTAGATAGAAGTGAATGGAGATGAATGGTATTTGGGACCTGATGAGCTGTTGGAGTGTGAGCAGGGTAATATTTAGTGAAGGGATTCAGGGAAACCGGTTATTTTACATAACCAGACTTGAGCCCTGGAAATGGGAAGTACAATGCCTGTACTCTAAAAGAAGGGTTTGGGATATTGGCAGTTTGGAGGGATATATTGTGTATTTTTATACGTATATACTTCTAAACTGTTGTATTCTGGGCACCTCTGCAAAAACAGTGATTATGTGTGAGTGAGGTGAAAGTGTTGAATGATGATGAAAGTATTTTCTTTTTGGGTCACCCTGCCTTGGTGGGAGACGGTCGACTTGTAGAGAAATAAAAATAATAATAATAATATAATACGTATAATAATAATAGTACATATATAATAATAATAATGTACTACATAGCAATAATTATAATAATACAACTTCAAAAGGCTGTCACTAGATGGCAGTGTTTACCACAACAAAGAGGGAGCGGTTGTGGCCGCCTCCACCTGTTACGTAATGAAATATTTTATGCATTCTGGAGAATATATCAGGTTTGTATGTTAATTTATATTTTTTATTATTTCATATTAGATGAACTGTGATAGATAAATAAGCCGTAGAGTTGATGATAGCGAAATATTCAAGGAGTATTTTGTCCTGTCTCCAGACAAACTCTCATCGGCCGCCGCCACTGCCACATACATAATGACATATTTTATTCATTCTAGAGTATATATCAGACTTCTATGTTATTTATATTGTTTGTTTTGTCATATTAGATGAACTGTTATAGATAAATAAGCTGTAGAGCTGATATTAGCGAAATTATTGAAGTACAGAATTCCACTGGAATGGATTAATTGCATTTCAATTTATTTAAATGAGGAAAATTGACTCTGCAAACGAGCAAATCCAGTTGCGAGCAAGGTCATGGAATGGATTAAACTCGCAGGTAGAGGTTCCACTGCAATTCTTATTCCTGCCCTTTACTAACTCATCACATTTCCACATTTTTCCTTTCACACGTCCCTACCTGCAGAGCTGTATAATCCTTTCGGGTTTAGCATTTCATTTTATTATATTATTATTTCATTCACTGCTCATGATTATAACTGAGATATGAATTAATCACAAGCATGCATGCTTAGTTTCACATGACTATGAGTTTAATCAGCCATATAAATGAGTGTGATCAACCCAAATAGGAAATTAACTATAGATATAAAGAGAAACTAAATTATGACAAAAGCTATGCCTTTCCTACAGCAGGACAATGTCTCTAATGAACTGGTTAAGTATGCTTTACCTCATTGTGGTTTCTTTGTATTTTGCGATTCACAGTGGCTAGGATGAGGCTAAGAAACAGTAGAAGGATGAGATAAACCCGGGTAGCAAGTATGGCTATACGCTTCTGCCCACATTGCCGGTTACCATTCAAGCCATTTTTCACCAGTGGTTCTTCTCCAATGTCTAGGCCACCTGCATGGCCCAGCACACACAGTGCACCTTGCACACTTAGCATAAACAACAAGGAAACGTGGAGGTTTACTTGAGATACCTGAAATATGCCAGTAAGAAAATCAGCAGTGTTACTTAACAGATCACACAAGTGATTTATTTAATTTTTTATAAGTTAGCCAGACTTGAGTCCTGGAAATAGGAGGTACAGTATACAATGCCTGCACTTTGGGATACTGACAGTTTGGAGGGACTTCTAAACTGTCGTATCTGATCGCCTCTGCAAAGACAGTGATTATGTATGAGTGAAGTGAAAGTGTTGAATGATGATGAAAGTATTTTCTCTTTGGGGATTTTCTTTCTTTTTGGGTCACCCTGCCTGGGTGTGAGACGGCAGACTTGTTGGGGGAAAAAAAAAAAAATAAAGAGAACTCAGTACCATTGATCAGAGTGTTAAGTTTCAAGATAATATTTCAGATCTTGTGAGAATCTGTCTGTACTTAATATACATATGTGCAAACACTTACGATCAATTCAAAAGAGGAAAAAAATAAGAAAATAAGAATGTTTATTAGGATAAAAAGGAAAGAAAAATGAAACTTGTGAAAAAGGAATTTAGGGAAAAAGATACTTTAAGTTTTCATTTAACATATATTCGAAGTCAAAATTTATACTACAAAAACTACATTGCAAAAGCACAGCTACAATTATGAAGCCGATACTACAATAGTCCAGCATTCAGGGCAATATTTACCTTACTGAGAAGTTAGCTCTATATCTTGGCAATTTTCACAAAAACTAATTTCAAGTCTCGTTTAGTGCTTCTCAATACTTACTTCACCCCCGACCCCAACTGATACCAAAGCACGTAGATGCATCGACTTGACCAGAAGAATGCCATAGCAGAGTGCCAGGCACATAGGCGGTGCCCACTCACGCACAGCACAGGTCATGGAGGTAGGAGGCAAGACATACACAACACAGGAGGCATACAGCCCCATCACACCCAGCAGCAGGATGGCACCAAGAACCTGGTTACATCATTAAGACAGTTTAGATTCATGTGTGATATACTTCTGCTGAATATAAAACATTGTTAAAGAATGGAATTATTACATTGATGATACAGCTCCTGGAAGAATGGGAGGTATTCAGGTTTGAGCCAAGGAAGGGAGCACAGGTCCAACTCCTTAGACCAAGAGCCCATCACCGGCATCAAGGATTCTCCACTGTGGGGAGGAAGAAGAGGGAAGGAGAAAGGAGAAGGTATACACATAAAATAACTCTTAAAGTTATTGCTAGGAATAAGCTTTGAAATTAACTGATACAGTAACAGTTATTAACATGTAAAATATTTGTAGGACCTCTTGTTTTCACTCTGTAGAGCTCTTAAATACAAAAAAAGAGTAAAGAAAAAGGAAAATGTGTATACAAATGCTATTATTAATATATTACTGTATTATCAAAAACATGTGCTAAACCTGCATGGGAGAATCAGCGCTCCATGTGTGCAAGGCTAGGGGTTAATGAGAGTGAAAAAAAATTGAAAAAAGATGGTGCAATAGGTTATGTCTGCCAACAGCGAGTCTGCATTAAATGTGGGACACTCGGCAAGGTCACAGCGAGTGATCACAGCACTGTAGATGTTAGTAGTGGTCTGTATGCTCTCTGATAGAAGGGACTATCTATTAATATACGGCGTACTGACAGTTCCGCTTGGCAGTCCTTCAGAAGTGCTGAATGTTTTTCCATGTGGTATCCGAGTCTCATGAAATCGTAATGACATGATTGCAAAGAAACCATACCCCACCCATGGTATGGTTTGGTATCCGTATATTTCCGATTCATAAAAAAATAGGGGCAGCTCAAATAATAATCGATTAAGAGTCCCTTCGGTGTGACAAGAGGCCTCCCTAGAAAGGTCATGTGATTGTGTTCACAGAAACTGTTACATGTATATCCTTTTGATGCTCAGTCTTCAGTCTTTAGTCAGAAACTGGAAAATTTTTCAGTTACAGAAATACAGTGGACCCCCGGTTTATGATCAGCTCCCAATGCGACCAATTATGCAAGTGTATTTATGTAAGTGCGTTTGTACGTGTATGTTTGGGGGTCTGAAATGGACTAATCTAATTCACAATATTCCTTATGGGAACAAATTCGTTCAGTAATGGCACCTGAACATACTTCTGGAATGAAATAATATCGTAAACCGGGGGTCCACTGTACTATCTTCTCTTGGATCCCATTCCAACTGCTTACACATATTTCTTGTTCAATAAGGAAACTTTCTCGGGTCCTGTCTAGTGTTCCTTTTTTATATAATTTGGACGTACAAGTACAGTAGTTAACTGCGAGCTATAAGACAGGAATAGCACAACCCACCTAATTTTTCAAAAAATTTCTTTGCATCAAACTGGTGAATGTGTTCCTTGTAAACTCTTATCAAAGTAAGTGCGTATAATGTCGAAGTGGCAATTTTCTGTTTCTTTTTTTTTTTTCAGGAGATTAGGGTGATATCTGTAGATGTCCAGTCTTGAGGCCCCCCTTTGCCTCATTCATGGATTTTTGTAAATAGCAATCTTAGTGGCAGGTATCTTCTTACATATTTTCTTATTTTAGCTTGAATGTTATATGCCTCAGGTGGACTGGAGTTTTGTCAACGTTAGTTCTTACTATTTCACTTGTAGGTATAAGGCCTTATAGAGAAGTAATGCTTGTAGTTATGAAAAAAATATAGTACATAAATTCTCAATTTTAAAATAAATTAAGGGGAATTGCTACTAATACGCAGTATTACCGAGTCAATTCAGTTCTACTTTCCAATTAACAAAACTGGTTATATTTGTTGTCATGTGTGCTGGAATATTTTTTCCATAAATTAATAAAATGTCAATTCATGATAAACAAAAACCTTTTCAAGTTTCATGCATGCAGGATATACATTTCTGTTTAAATACAAGTACTGTATGACAAAAGCTGCACTCTGCAACTGGTAGATTCCAATAGACATCACTTAACCTTACCTGTGGACCAGTGAGAGTTCCATCACATACCCGCAGAGCCACATACACAGCGACATACAAGGAGACTACCACACCCAGGCATGCCACCACTAACACTGAGAAGGCCCAAGTTCGTCCCACATAGTCCTGTTATCAAAATGAAAGATTAGTTAAAGTTGTTTTTCAAAAAGCACACTGCAAACTCTCTGACATGACTTATTGTAAAGTTATTTTTATTACAAATTCATGCAGTGAATCTACATTTCACATTAACGTACTGGACAGTTTTCATCTCTGCATGAAATAAATAAAATGTTTAAAAGCTTTAAAATTTCTTGCTCTACACATTGGTCATTTTTGTTACTACTGTATTAGGTTGTATGGTTCTTAGTAATACGAATGAGCCAAAATGTGTATTGGCGGAGTAGGGGTCGTCCTCGAAAAGGTTGGAAGGGAGGGGTAAGGGAGGTTTTGTGGGCGAGGAGCTTGGACTTCCAGTAGGCGTGCATGAGCGTGTTCAATAGGAGTGAACGGAGACAAATGGTATTTGGGACCTGATGATCTGTTGGAGTGTGAGCAGGGTAATACTTAATGAAGAGATTCAGGGAAACCAGTTATTTTTATATAGCCAGACTTGAGTCCTGGAAATGGGAAGTGCAATGCCTGCACTCTAAAGGAGGGGTTCGGGATATTAGCGGTTTGGAGGGATATGTTGTGTAACTTTATACGTACATATACAGTGGACCCTCGACCAGCGATGGCATCGATTAACGATAAATCCGACTAGCGATACATTTTAACGCAAAAATTTTGCCTTGACTAGCGCTAAAAAACCCGACCAACGCTATTCGTTCCGTTCAAGATGCGTCCACTTTGGCCTGAGCGCGCCTCACTTGTCCCATGGGTGCCAGTGTTTACAAGCCAGCCAGCCACCGCGGTCGCTTCCAAACATACAATTGGAACATTTCATATTATCACAGCCTTTGTAGTGATTGCACCTGCAAAATAAGTCACCATGGGCCCCAAGAAAGCTTCTAGTGCCAACCCTACAGCAAAAAGGGTGAGAATTACTATGGAGATGAAGAAAGAGATCATTGCTAAGTATGAAAGTGGAGTGCGTGTCTCCGAGCTGGTCAGGTTGTACAGTAAACCCCAATCAACCATCGCTATTATTGTGGGCAAGAAAATGGCAATCAAGGAAGCTGTTCTTGCCAAAGGTGCAACTATGTTTTCGAAACTGAGATCGCAAGTGATAGAAGATGTTGAGAGACTCTTATTGGTGTGGTAAACGAAAAACAGATAGCAGGAGATAGCATCTCTCAAGCGATCATATGTGAAAAGGCTAGGAAGCTGCATGACGATTTAATTAAAAAAATGCCAGCAACTAGTGGTGATGTGAGTGAATTCAAGGCCAGCAAAGGTTGGTTTGAGAGATTTAAGAAGCGTAGTGGCATTCATAGTGTGATAAGGCGTGGTGAGGCTGCCAGTTCGGACCACAAAGCGGCTGAAAAATATGTGCAGGAATTCAAGGAGTACATAGACAGTGAAGGGCTGAAACCTGAACAAGTGTTTAATTGTGACGAAACAGGCCTGTTTTGGAAGAAAATGCCAAGCAGGACGTACATTACTCAGGAGGAAAAGGCACTCCCAGGACATAAGCCTATGAAAGACAGGCTTACTCTGTTGATGTGTGCCAATGCTAGTGGTGATTGCAAAGTGAAGCCTTTATTGGTGTATCACTCAAACTCCCAGTGTTCAGGAAAAACAATGTCCTCAAGGCTAATTTGTGTGTGCTGTGGAGGGCAAACAGTAAGGCATGGGTCACTAGGGACTTTTTCTATGACTGGTTACACCATGCATTTGCCCCCACTGTGAAAAATTACCTAATTGAAAAGAAATTATATCTTAAGTGAATCCTGGTATTAGACAATGCTCCTGGTCATCCTTCAGACTTGGCAGAGCGACTTTCGAGGGACATGAGCTTCATTAAGGTGAAGTTTTTGCCTCCTAATACCACTCCTCTCCTGCAGCCCATGGACCAGCAGGTCATTTCCAACTTCAAGAAACTGTACACAAAAGCTATGTTTGAAAGGTGCTTTGTAGTGACCTCAGAAACTCAGCTGACTAAGAGAGTTTTGGAAAGATCACTTTACCATCCTCAATTGTGTAAACATTATAGGTAAGGCTTGGGAGGAAGTGACTAAGAGGACCTTGAACTCTGCTTGGAAAAAACTGTGGCCAGAATGTGTAGACAAAAGGGATTTTGAAGGGTTTGAGGCTAACCCTGAGAATCCTATGCCAGTTGAGGAATCCATTGTGGCATTGGGGAAGTCCTTGGGGTTGGAGGTTAGTGGGGAGGATGTGGAAGAGTTGGTGGAGGAGGACAATGAAGAACTAACCACTGATGAGCTGCTAGATCATCTTCATCAGCATGAGGCCACACCCGAGGAAACTGCTTCGGAGGAGGGGATAGAGAAATTGAAGAAGTTGCCTACTTCTAAGATTAAGAAAATCTGTGCAATGTGGCTTAAAGTGCAAACCTTTACGGATGAAAATCACCCTGATGCAGCTACTGCAAGCCGTTTTGGCAACCTGTACACTGACAATGTTGTGAAACACTTTAGAAATGTCATAAAGGAACGGGAGGTACAGGCCTCTATGGACAGATGTGTTGTTTGACAGAAGGCCAGTGACTCTCAAGCTGGTCCTAGTGGCATTAAAAGAACAAGGGAAGTAACCCCGGAAAAAAACTTGCTACCTCAAGTCCTAATGGAAGGGGATTCCCCTTCTAAACACTAAGAAGATCAACACTCTCCCCTCCTCCCATCCCATCAATCATCACCAGATCGTCAATAAAGGTAAGTGTCATGTAACTGTGCATGTCTTCTTCAGTTTGTGTGTATTAAAATTAATATTTCAAGTGGTAAAATTTTTTTTTTCAATACTTTGAGGTGTCAGGAACGGATTAATTTGATTTCCATTATTTCTTATGGGGAAAATTAACTCAACTAACGATAATTTCGATTAACGATGAGCTCTCAGGAACAGGTTAATATCGCTGGTCGAGGGTCCACTGAATATGCTTCTAAACTGTTGTGTTCTGAGCACCTCTGCAAAAACAGTGATTATGTGTGAGTGAGGTGAAAGTGTTGAATGATGATGAAAGTATTTAATTTTTGGGGATTTTCTTTCTTTTCGGGTCACCCTGCCTCGGTGGGAGACGGCCGACTTGTTAAAAAAAAAAAAAAAATAATAATAATATTTTGCAATCTCAGTAATATAAACTAGCAGTCATGTTCCCTAACTCCTGTACTTAAATTACTGTATAAAGTTAGTGGTACCAACTTATTTTAAATTACAGTACAGAACGTGGTGTCTCATTTTCATTAATACATTCATCACAGTCTTTAAAATTTATAATAGCTATGTCACTTACTACCTACTCTCATAATTTATTCTGTTCTTCTAGCACTCCATGTTTTTTTTTTATTAACAAGTTGGCCGTCTCCCACTGAGGCAGGGTGACCCAAAAAGAAAGAAAATCCCCAAAAATAAAATACTTTCATCATCATTCAACACTTTCACCTCACTCATACATAATCACTGTTTCTGCAGAGGTGCTCCGAATACCACTCCATGTATAAAGAAAAATAGTATGGCTTAATTTTTAACTATTACACTGGACAAAAAAAAATTGTTGTCTGCTGTGGTAAATGTTTATTAACTTGAGCAAGATGATCTCAGATCTGATGTCTAACTTAGTCCAGTATGTCAGAATTTTTAGTACAGAAATTTTTTTTTCAGGCATTGTTTATTAAAAAGATATGCACATTGCACGAGTGACATTTGTATGTACATGCTGTTCAACTGATGTCAGCTCATCAGTAGTACTCAAAATATGTAAGCAATTTGAAGAAAATAAGTGACATGCATTATTAAGATTGTTTATTAAAATAAGAAGCACAACTGACATATGTCCTAGGTAGTAGGTTGGTAGACAGCAACCGCCCAGGGAGGTACTACCGTCCTGCCAAGTGAGTGTAAAACTGAAGCCTGTAATTGTTTTACACGATGGTAGGATTGCTGGTGTCTCTTTTTTCTGTCTCATACACATGCAAGATTTCAGGTATGTCTTGCTACTTCTACTTACACTAAGGTCACACTACACATACATGTACAAGCATATATATATACACACCCCTCTGGGTTTTCTTCTATTTTCTTTCTAGTTCGTGTTCTTGTTTATTTCCTCTTACCTCCATGGGGAAGTGGAGCAGAATTCTTTCTCCGTAAGCCATGCGAGTTATAAGAGGAGACTAAAATGCCGGGGGCAAGGGGCTAGTAACCCCTTCTCCTGTGTATATTACTAAATGTAAAAGGAGAAACTTTTGTTTTTCCTTTTGGGCCACCCCGCCTCGGTGGGATATGGCCGGTGTGTTGAAAAAAAGAAAGAACTGACTTATGTACATGCTATTCAATGGTAAAAATAGTAAAAATGCATGAAACATTTATTTTCATTTTCTTTCAACTAAAATTCCTTACGTGTTGGTCAAAGACTGTTCCACGGGGGCGTTGACCCTCGGAACGACCTCTCGGTAGTAGTTAAGATACTCGTATTAGTATAAATCACATACATTCAACAACAAATTTGTTATCCAGAGTTACTATTATATTTTATTAATGATACGGTATGAACATAATATTTAATATCTTTTTTTTTTTTCAACAAGTCGGCCGTCTCCCACCGAGGCAGGGTGACCCAAAAAAGAAAGAAAATCCCCAAAAAGAAAATACTTTCATCATCATTCAACACTTTCACCTCACTCACACATAATCACTGTTTTTGCAAAGGTGCTCAGAAGACAACAGTTTAGAAGCATATACGTATAAAGATACACAACATATCCCTCCAAACTGCTAATATCCCAAAACCCCTCCTTTAGAGTGCAGGCATTGTACTTCCCATTTCCAGGACTCAAGTCTGGCTATATAAAAATAACTGGTTTCCCTGAATCCCTTCACTAAATATTACCCTGCTCACACTCCAACAGATCGTCAAGTCCCAAATACCATTCGTCTCCATTCACTCCTATCGAACACGCTCATGCATGCCTGCTGGAAGTCCAAGCCCCTCGCCCACAAAAACC